GTTATATTCTAGAACTCGTGCTTTTCCCATCTGTTGTATCACTGGTGGTTACACAAAGATATGTTCTTTTATTTTCAGTATTTCACAGAGCAAAACCTATACATTTGTTTATTCGCTCGTTTTATTATCAGTTTTAACAATCGCTAGTCGTTATTTAACAACTATTTCATTTATCATTATCCTTGTTTACTCTTTACATTACACTCGCACCTTATGATTATAACTATTATTATAACGTGTGAATGTAGAACGTATATCGCGAATGATAATTTGCATGCATACAGTAGTTGTAATTATTGACACTGATAGATTTCACTGCAATAAAACTATGGTGCGATAAATGTTATTGCCACAGGTCGGGGAGTTATTATTGTTCATACCTCTCTCTCTCTCTCTCTCTCTCAGCCAATCAAATTACATTACTACTCCACCAGGTGCTATACAATACATAACAGAATAAAAAAATAACAGGTCAGCTTCCCCCTTGATAGTCCACAGTCGGGACTGTAACAGGCTACAAAAGCGTATACGGTAATAACACCTACAAGTCAGTATCAAGACAGATATCAAGTGGGGGAACACATCAGAGAAACGTACATTTGCAAGCTTGTGTATAAAAACTTCTATTTGAACATGGTACACCACCACTAGACTCAAAACGTTGGCTTTGTGAATAAATTACGGTGAATTTTGTACGAATACTAATACATAATAGTTGGTCGCCTGCCTCCACTAAATATTTATTCTGTTTCACTGTTCATATGAGAGTATTCAGTATCAACGATGAATGAATACGCAAGAGTAAAAGAACCATGTACTGTATTTTATACATCACGCGTAACCATGAGATGACAGCCAATACGAGATATATGATGCAGAGATGAATGATGATGGTTAGCATGATCACCAATGCAATAATGTCCATAAGTCATGCACAATAAAATTCCAACTGATAACTAATAAATAATACGTGTATCCTGACCATAGCTTTACTATGTATACAAATGTACTTGCTAGACAATATGACGAATAGCTAATAGCAGAGATGGCACAGATAATGAAAATAGAAACCATACTTGAAGCACATATAAAAGTATATGAAAAACAGTCAAAGAAATTGCACGACTTTTCATTCTAAAATACTGTGAGACCAAA